GCCACCAACAAGATTTTGTCTACTATGAAACTAACTTCTGGTTTGCATTGAGGAGACCACGTCTACTTTTAATAGCAGGCTTTGGACATTCCTTTCTGATTAACCTTTAAATTAAGGCCATACAGGGTGGACCTGAACCTTTCCTCAACTTTGCAACTAAATGTTTCAATCACATCTTCACTCCTGTGTTTGTGTACTACTATTGCATGTCATTAATGTTTGCCTACTCTACCATAGTTTCGTTTGTTGTCCATCTACTGTACTGTTTCTTCTCATTCTCCTCTTTCCCTTTGCAGTCTGCTGGAGGACTTTTCCTGTTACAGATTTTTTTTCCCCCACTTTTGCCAAATATTGTCTCGTGAGGCATCATTGGCTTTGTCTAGGAAGAATTACAAATCTTTGAGGAAGTGCCATCACGTGACTTGGACTGTGGAGGGTGGAGCATTTCCTTCCTACTTGAATAAGCTTATAACGTCCTAGCTTGACCAGTCAACCAGTTATGTGGAGAGAGAGGAACATTAGCACAATTAGGGTATAAACAGTGGTAACAGCACTTTAGGAGGTCCTAGAGCAGGAAAGGATATTGAGTCAAATGAAAACTGCAACTGAACAGCATCATTTTTATTATAAAGGCACAGGCCAGTATCAGGCAGAACCTGTCGTACAAGGACAGCAGGATGAAGGTCAACCTGGGTATACACTAATCTCAGAATAGATGATGATGTGGTTTCCTGGAGGGAAGAAATTCATAATGGTGGAACCAACAGTGTCAGGGGAGGGGTGTGAAGAAGCAGGCGAGATAACAAAGAACCAGCGACTTGATCTTAGAGACTCAGAGCTTTTGATTGTCATTTTGCAGTTTCTTGCACTGCGAAATTGGGTAGCTGGACCACAAAGGTGCAAAAGTAAAGAAGAGAAAACAATATACAACCCCAAAAAAGGTGTTACTTGATGACTTCTACATCTGGCTAAAGCTCCATCTAGTGAAAATGTCTGCAAAGTGTAGGATCATTGACACGTGTATAAAGTGCCAATTGGTACTATACAAATCAAATGTATCAGAATTAGGAGAATCATGTCAAAGTGACTTCCATGTGAGTGCCCAGGAGCCACTGTGTTCAAGCAGACTGTCAGATTTAATGTTGTAGCTGATTACAGTGGTCACCATAATAATCCACTAAGCAGATAATAGGTGTTCTTACCTTTGGATGGCACTGATGTAGCATCTCCTGCTAAAGTCGTGTCTTTCATGCCACCTGGCCTCTCAGGTTGTTCCTCTGGCCCACAAGCTCGATTTTTTCTTTGTGACACGCTGACCTCAGACAAGCAGCTTTCCTTATAGCCCATCGGTGTTGGCTCCTGCTCATTCCCTAAGAGAAAATAATCATAATTTCCATCTTACAGCTAAGGTTTGAAGGTATGAGAGTTCCACCTCCCCGCAGGGCCCACTTACCTTGAGCATTATTTGGTAGATATTTGTGTTCCAAGAGGTGGCCATTCAGGGTTTTAGCATTTTGAGAGACAAACTGGCAGTGAAAGCAGCCAAAGGGCATGTGTCCTTTCCGATGGCTTTCCATCTCAGCTTGTGTAAGGAATGACTTTTTACAAGCCCGGTAGGTGCAGGGCACAAGAGTGAGGCCATGTGTAGACATTATGTGGGCTTGATACTCGTCACGGTCCGAGACACTGAAGTAGCAGCCTTTCTCAGAGCAGGAGAACGGGCCTGTCAGGTCTGGGTCACTGTGGCTGGTTTTAAAGTGATGTTTAAGAGCAGCTGGTTTGGAAAAGACCTCAGCACACCGAGAACACTTGAATCTGTCCAGCTGCACTTTACTGGATGAAGCGATTTGTCTTTGTGAACAGGGGTGAGAGGCAAACATGCCGCTGTCTGAAAAGCTCTGTCCACATTTTTCACAATGAAAATCCATCGTCTCCATTGTGTCTAAAAAAAATAAAGAGTAAAGCCTTAAAATTTCACAACAATTTAATATCATGTTAGGGTACACATGCACAAGTTAAACATCAGACTCTATAACATTCCTGTCCTTTTCAGTCCTTTCTGACTGTATGCATCAGCTCATTGAGTGACTTATGTATGTATGTGTATATATGTATATATTGTACTATTCTTAGTTAGTGTATTGTCTGTCTTGTCTTAATGTTGGTTTATAATGGAGCACTGTAACAAAAAATAATTTCCCCCAGGGATCAATAAAGTATTCTGATTATGATTATGATTAGTTTCACATCTGTGTTTAACGACCAATCACTCCATGTGTGTATAAATAACCCTGTTCGTTCTTGGTGTTGGGCTGTCTGTTCCTTGTCCTTCTCGCACTCTTGTGAATTCCTGTTTTGCTTTTAGTTTTGATATTATTCAGAACTTTTTTTTTGTTTAAATCAAACATTATTAAGGGTTTGCTTTTTCTTTTGTTCCATTTGTCATCTCACTCCTGAACTATGATATGGGATATTAATTCCCAGCATGTGAAAACACAGTAGAACCTGCATCCTCCTCTGTCACACCAACCCTCTGCATGTCCTCCTTCACTACATCCATAAGTCTTGTCGGTGGTCTTCCTCTTTTCCTCCCGCCCAACAGCTCAGTATTAGACTTTGATATATATTTTGTGCATGTAGATAAAAAAAAAAGTCTGGAATAAAGTGGTATCTTAATGGTGCTGATATGATCATAGTTGCTGGAAATGCACTGATAACACCCGAACTTTTCAAGCTGAAAACCCACAGACTTCCAAATGTCCCCACTGTAGCATACAGTGGGGCAAAAAAGTATTTAGTCAGCTACCGATTGTGCAAGTTCCCCCACTTAAAATGATGACAGAGGTCAGTAATTTGCACCAGAGGTACACTTCAACTGTGAGAGACAGAATGTGGAAAAAAAAAAAAAAAAAAAAAAATCCATGAATCCACATGGTAGGATTTGTAAAGAATTTATTCGTAAATCAGGGTGGAAAATAAGTATTTGGTCAATAACAAAAATACAACTCAATACTTTGTAACATAACCTTTGTTGGCAATAACAGAGGTCAAACGTTTACTATAGGTCTTTACCAGGTTTGCACACACAGTAGCTGGTATTTTGGCCCATTCCTCCATGCAGATCTTCTCGAGAGCAGTGATGTTTTGGGCTGTCGCCGAGCAACACGGACTTTCAACTCCCGCCTCAGATTTTCTATGGGGTTGAGGTCTGGAGACTGGCTAGGCCACTCCAGGACTTTCAAATGCTTCTTACGGAGCCACTCCTTTGTTGCCCGGGCGGTGTGTTTTGGATCATTGTCATGTTGGGAGACCCAGCCTCGTTTCATCTTCAAAGTTCTCACTGATGGAAGGAGGTTTTGGCTCAAAATCTCACGATACATGGCCCCATTCATTCTGTCCTTAACACGGATCAGTCGTCCTGTCCCCTTGGCAGAAAAACAGCCCCATAGCATGATGTTTCCACCCCCATGCTTCACAGTAGGTATGGTGTTCTTGGGATGCAACTCAGTATTCTTCTTCCTCCAAACACGACGAGTTGAGTTTATACCAAAAAGTTCTACTTTGGTTTCATCTGACCACATGACATTCTCCCAATCCTCTGCTGTATCATCCATGTGCTCTCTGGCAAACTTCAGACGGGCCTGGACATGCACTGGCTTCAGCAGCGGAACACGTCTGGCACTGCGGGATTTGATTCCCTGCCGTTGTAGTGTGTTACTGATGGTGACCTTTGTTACTTTGGTCCCAGCTCTCTGCAGGTCATTCACCAGGTCCCCCCGTGTGGTTCTGGGATCATTTTGACCCCACGGGATGAGATCTTGCGTGGAGCCCCAGATCGAGGGAGATTATCAGTGGTCTTGTATGTCTTCCATTTTCTGATGATTGCTCCCACAGTTGATTTTTTCACACCAAGCTGCTTGCCTATTGTAGATTCACTCTTCCCAGTCTGGTGCAGGTCTACAATACTTTTCCTGGTGTCCTTCGAAAGCTCTTTGGTCTTGGCCATGGCGGAGTTTGGAGTCTGACTGTTTGAGGCTGTGGACAGGTGTCTTTTATACAGATGAGTTCAAACAGGTGCCATTCATACAGGTAACGAGTGGGGGACAGAAAAGCTTCTTACAGAAGATGTTACAGGTCTGTGAGAGCCAGAGATTTTCCTTGTTTGAGGTGACCAAATACTTATTTTACACCCTGATTTACGAATAAATTCTTTACAAATCCTACCATGTGAATTCATGGATTTTTTTTTCACATTCTGTCTCTCACAGTTGAAGTGTACCTCTGGTGCAAATTACTGACCTCTGTCATCATTTTAAGTGGGGGAACTTGCACAATCGGTGGCTGACTAAATACTTTTTTGCCCCACTGTATAACTTACCCTTTAATCAGGGATAATATATAGAAAAAATTAATGACATACAGATATTGATATTAATATAACTTTGATAGTACATAGTGGTCTTTCATACTGATGAAGTTACTGCACTAGTGCTAACTGTAATAAGACACATCACAGGTACACGGTTACATGCACAAAATTGCAGGTGCTTACAGTAGAAAATGAACTTCAGAGTCAGACCTACTGCCCGGGTTTCCACGGTCCTTTGGATCCAAAAAACAAAACATCAACAGCTGTGTTTAACCGCAAGGCTGCACCGTCTGCCTCATTGAATCCACTTTTACTGACTGCCTGTTATAGAAATCCTTAGCTGTCAGTGAGTTACAGCAGCTGAAGTTTTTCTCGCTCTGATTAATAATATAAAGTGATTGAAACACGCCAATAATAACATCGCGTTTAATGCTAGCTGAGCTAACCCTCATTAGCTTCTTGAGACGCTCATCGCAAAGTCTTTGCGTCCCTGTTAGCTTTTCACCGCTGTTGCGGTTCAAGCCGTTTAAACTAAAATTCACAGAGTGCATTAACCACCGTTGCGTAGTTATTCTCTTAACAGGTTAGCAAAATTAGGTGAGCATAAAAATAGATTACTAAGGAGGGGGGACCATTATTTGTGAGCGCCAGTGGAAAGTCGGAACGGTATCCATCAAACACAGGAAGTGTAGTAAAGGTCGCCGTGCAGAAGCATCGTTGCACGCTTGGGGATTTTATGTGGCTGAATGAAGGTTTAAACACGAGAATGAATGAAGTCACCAGTGGCAGCTGTGAGAGATTAAGTCAGAGGGAAAAAAACAACGCAACTGTCGTAATTTAGCCAGTCGGGTAGCCTTAACTGTCGCTAAATGTATTTCCAGCCTACAAGCAGCTGTCAGGATACGAAGAAAGACCGATAACCTTTATTTACTGCACTACCCAGGTCTTCAGATGAGCTCCTTTTGCGGGGGTATCTAGAGTCTCACTGCAGCCGTCACCATGCCCCTGACGGATTTTCTGGACGGCTTGAAGGACAACCCGTACTTCGGAGCCGGCTTCGGACTGGTCGGGGTCGGGACAGCTCTGGCGCTTGCCAGGAAAGGGGCTCAGGTGGGGATGATCTTCTTCCGCAGGCACTACATGATCACTCTGGAGGTGCCCAGCAGGGACAAGAGCTACAACTGGCTGCTGAGCTGGATCACCAAGCACGCCAAACACACGCAGCACCTGAGCGTGGAGACCTCCTACCTGGCGCACGAGAGCGGACGGGTTCACACGCAGTTTGACTTTCACCCGAGCCCTGGCAACCACATCATCTGGTATAGCACATACCACTACACCTATAAGACCTGTATTCTAAACTGATTGGCCACTTTCTCTGTGACACTGACTTCCGTTGTGGTCTGCAGGTATGGGAGGAAGTGGATCAGGGTGGAGAGAACCAGGGAGAAGCAGATGGTGGATCTGCACACCGGAACCCCCTGGGAGTCTGTCACTTTCACAGCTTTAGGCAGAGACAGACAGATCTTCTTTAATATCTTACAAGAAGGTAAGTTTAACAACACATGAAGTCAGGTGTGCACATAGTTAGATTTTCACCTGTATTGCAGATGTATTTTCAGAATTATCACATTGAATTTTGAGGCTCATCTACATCCAGATGAACAGTATCAACATTTTGGGATTTGAGGCTCATCCCTCCAAATGTTTGCACCGAGTAGCTTCTCGAAGTCTGGATGTTTCCTCCCTTAATTGCTTAATTTCAGTGCACAGTGTGTGGTGTACATGGGCTAAGTTGTGAAGTTTTGTCTAAAATACTTACAGACTTAACTGTACTTGACAAAATACTTGAGTGGGCTTTTAGTTGAGCTTTCATTCCTGTTTTGCAGCAAGAGAACTGGCGCTGAAGCAGGAGGAAGGCAGGACAGTGATGTACACGGCCATGGGTGCAGAGTGGCGGCCCTTCGGCTTTCCTCGGCGGCGCAGACCCCTCAGCTCTGTGGTGCTGGACGTGGGTGTTGCAGAAAGGATTGTAGATGACGTGAAGGACTTCATTGGAAATCCCAAATGGTACACAGATAGAGGTAAAATGTTACATGACATGAATTTTAATCATGATTATAATGTCTTGATCACCACAATTAAAGGAACACAACTGAGTTATCATGAAACTGTTACTCACAGGGTACTTTGCCCATTCCTGGTTGAAGTTGCTGATTTTCTTATCGCTTTATTGATGAACATCACTTCTGTTAAAAGCCCCTTGGATTTTTGCTGAAGGTCTGGTCCGACTCCTTACCAGAGTCTGTTCGAGAGTAGGGAAGGTCTCTAGAAAAACCTAATAAGAAAAATGTTACCGAACGTTTTAATTTGTCTACTTTGTAGAAGAATTTCTAGGGTTTTTTGTGATTAATCCTCTACTGATGGTGGTTGTTCACCTGTGCAGGTATTCCCTACAGAAGAGGCTACCTGCTGTACGGCCCCCCCGGATGTGGAAAGAGCAGTTTTATGTGAGTATATGCTTTATTTGGGTTTATTCTTCTTGCTGCGTACTCGTCGTGTAACCTCACCAATGCCTGTGTAACTTGCTGTTTTTTCAGCACGGCGCTGGCTGGTGAGCTGGGCTACAGCATCTGTCTGATGAGTCTGAGTGACCGAACACTTTCAGACGACCGCCTGAATCACCTCCTGAGTGTGGCTCCGCAGCAGAGCATCATTCTCCTGGAGGATGTCGATGCAGCCTTTGTCAGCAGAGACCTGCTTCCCACTGAGAGTGAGCAGCAGAACCGATCAAACATATTTCTTTTTACATGTTTAAAACATCACAGATGTTCATCAGCTCCACTCTGTGGTTTTAAAACAGGCTGATATTCAGTACTGAAGCAACCTGTAAAGCTGTATTTGACCAGATTTGTTACATTCTGGTTTGAAGGTGAATTTTGAAGTCACTGAGCTGTGTTTTCTTCTGTTGCCTCTCAGACCCTCTGGCCTATCAGGGAATGGGACGACTGACCTTCAGCGGACTGCTGAACTCTCTTGACGGAGTGGCTTCATCGGAGGCCCGAATAGTTTTTATGACTACCAACTTCATAGACAGGTACTGTTCGAAGCCAAGAGTGTTTAGTGACATTGTACCAACATGTAAACTGATATAGCTGCTTCTAATGTAAATGTAAAAAATGTAATGTAAAAAAAACAATTGAAGCAGTGAAGAGACTGAAACAGAATTAGAAGAAAATAAAAGACCCCAACAGCAGGTGGCGCTGCATACCAAGTGCTGGTGAAGTTGAGATATTGCTGTGATACAGCAGCCTACCTCAATAAAATAAGTGCAGTACAGGGATTGACATAACCAGTGTCCTGGGAAAAAAGGAGTAGTGCAGTGTGACACAGTATCAGAGTACATAGGTCTGATATGCATGTGCACAGTAGACTGTGTATCCATAGTGACAATTTACATACATTAATAAACTATAACTGATCACATGATCAAATGTTAGATTGACTTTATCTTCAGATCTTAAATTAATCCGTGCACGCCTACCTGTTCATCCCTGCCTGTATGATCAGCTTCATCACCTCATCTTCCTCACGTCTCTCTGCTTCCTTAATGAACATTACAATCTTTTTGTCATGGCTACAAAAACTTGTTCTTTCACTTGTGAAACATAAGAAGTGTTTTCAGTGCCATTAACTGCCAGCGTTGTGTATGATATCTGCACACAGGTTAGACGCAGCGCTCATCCGACCTGGCCGTGTTGATCTGAAGCAGTACATCGGGCATTGCACCCACTGGCAGCTCACCCAGATGTTCCGACGATTTTATCCCGACGAACCGGCCTCTGAGGCAGAACACTTTGCCAAGCACGCTTTAGCCACACACTCTGAAATCAGTGCTGCTCAGGTGCAAGGACACTTTCTGCTGCACAAAATGGACCCTGCAGGATCGATAGACAATGTTGCTCAAATAAAAGGATGACAGGATTGGAAGGGATTTGGATGCTGAAGCCCAAATAAAGAGAAATGGAAAAATATTTTCAGTTTAAGTTTATTAATGAGACAGACGCATAAGAGAGTTGATTTTTGTGATTTATGCGACTGCTTAGATGTTGGAAATAAAAACACACAAACCTCACCTACATTTACTCCAAGCTCTGTCTTATTGGAAAGATTCATTCTCAAAAATTTGCAAAAAACTTTGCTCTGACCTTGAAAGGTTGTCTTCCAAATGTAGTTATAGTCATAGCTGCACTGGCCATTGGCCCACCGGACATTTGCCCAGTGGGCCGATGGTGATTTTTTGTTTTTATGGGCTGATGATTTATTTTTTTTCAGTAACGGTATAAACAATGAAAGGTGGTGGATTGGCCAGATGCTGGCAGATGTGTAAAAATAACTCAGTTGTTTGGTGGTGGTGTTCTGGGAATCCATCCTACCTGGAAAAACACCACATAGGCCAGCAGATGGATGAGGGAAAGGAGAGGCAGGAGGAGGAGAGGTGAACTGAACTTCAGGTAAGAAGTTATGACCTGCAGTCTATCTGGGTCAGATATAAACCAAGTTTAGGTGCAGTTTATTTTCGTTGTGTTGACTTTTTACAGTCAGTTACAATAACTCGTACTGCGTGCTAGGTAGCATGACGAAGTGTCTATACAGCTGGGTGGGTGCTTTGATGATACTGATAGTGAACTTTATTTTATTCATAAGGTTAATTAGTAAAAAACGGAATCGTCCCATATTCAGAGAAAATATTACGCGTTTTGTAATTAGCTGAGAAGGAACACAGTTTGTCCCGTACTTCAGCTACAATGGGAAAAGACACAAAGCTGGAGTTATTCTGTGTCTTTACGCTGTCAGCTGCCTCTTCTCTCATTCTCACCTCTCCCTTTACTGTTGCTACTTCAATCATGAAACTGATCAGTGATCAGCTGATCGGCTTTTCTGGTGCAAGTCCGGTCTCTCTTGTTTATCGCCCACTTTGCGCCAGAACGGGAAACCAGCGGATGTCGCGCTAAACAACAGCAGCACGTTTAAGCTTGATCAGCTGTTGTTAGAATTTATTTAATATTACTTTCTAGTATCAGCTGATGTTTGCAGGAGCCACAGCTGTAAAAGCTGCTGGTCATGATGTTGGTTTGGTTATCTGGTGAGAGGGAAACATGAAGATGAAACCAGGAGATGTCCTTACTGAATCATCAGAGCTGAACAGGTGATGGAGAAACAGGTTTACCTTTAAGGTGACACGAATGAGTTGAAGGGAAGTTATAAACTGTTTCTGAGAGACAAATAACACCAGGAGCCTTTTCTACGTAGCTGACAGCTGGTAACTGTGCAGGGGCGGGTCTAGCAAAGTGTTGCCAGGGGGCCATGTAGGGCATTAACAGGGAAAGGGGGGCACAAGGAAATACTTTTCTTTCTTTTTCTCATTTAAAATGTCTCGCTTTTAACAAATAATTATCTGAATCTTACAACCAAAGTTTTTATCTGATGTAAAATGTATAGAAATCATACATATACCAACAAGACTGTACGTCACTGTGACAACAGCGTTTGTTTTCGTTCAAAGGCTTTATGGCTTTTCCTATAATACCTGGTGGGCCGGTCTCTAGTCAAAATGCCCGGGCCGATTCTTTTGTTCCAGTCCAGCTCTGGTTATAGTTGTAGTTAAAGTTATAGGTTTCACATATAAATCAGCAGCAAGCCTTAAAATGAGGTGAAAAATAAGACACTGCCTATTTACACGATGTGATTTATTTGACAAAAACTGAACTAAAATGCAGAAGAAGCTTCTGAACACCTAAGTGCACCCCATGATAGAACCACATTTAGCAGTGATAACATAATTGTTTTCTATTTATCAGTCTAGCATCCACTTTGTTTTACATTGTTGTTTTAGGCCATTGAGAATTCATTCATTCACAGCTCTTTTGAGGTCACACCACCACATGTCCATCACCACATGTGACAGAATGCTTTGGTACAATGAGGACCTTATGGTTGACTTGAAGACTGCAAGCTGCCCAAATCATCACCCCTTCACTACCTTGCTTCACTGTTGCTATAATGTGTTTAGTTATCTCCAAACATACTTCTATGCATGCTGATCAAACATCTGGTCGTATGGTCTCATCGGTCCGCAAGTTTTGGGGTTTGTTCAGATGCAGCTTTTTGAACATAACCTGTGCTGCCCTGCTCTTTTTAGAGTAGAGGATTTCTCCTGGCAACTCTTCCAAACTTGCTCAGTCTTTTTTTAATTGTGCTATCATGAACTATCATGCTGACTGAGGCCTTCAGAGTTTGAGATGGAGCTCAGGGTTTTTTTTTACAGTTTCTCTGAGGGCTGCACGATGCGATCTTGGGTGAATTAATTGGGATGCCCACTTCTGGGAAGATTGTGGCATTATGGTAACATGCACCTGAATGCTTCAGACCAGAAAACTGCCAAAACGTCTGCTTTTACACAGGCGATTACTCTTACTAATGATCAGTTAATAAAGTGTATTTAATAAGAAGCACCTGGTTGCTACTTGTCCTCTGAAGTCCTTTTGAAGCAACTTTAGAAAAGGAAGCATATACTTTCTCTTTCACATGACTGACTGTACTAGACTGGTCTTTTTTTGTTGTGTATGATTAAAGGGTGTGGAAGTGGAGCTCTATCACCTCTGCTTGCCTTTCTGTATTCACTGTACAGCACAGTAGGAGGGTACTGAGATGAGACACACACAAAAATATAACTCTTGCAGTATCCAAAGCATGTTTGCTGGAGACTGAAAGTCGTGTTGATCAGATCTCACATCTGTTTCGCTCATCACACAAATGTGTTTTAAATTAAAAGCATTCTTTTGATTCAGTAACTAGAAACAGTCATTGATTTACTTTGACACTATAGTCAGGCTTGCTTAAAAGCAGCCATCTCACTGTTACTGAGCAGAAAAATGTGAGTTTAGGTATTTTTCCATTTGTGGTCCTTTGTGGCTTCTTGTCTTTGTTGATCCTTAAGAGCTGGGCTGGAAGGGTTAAACATTTAGCAAGATGTGGCGCCTCCCTTTATGGCTAGTCTTCTGCATGCAATAGGAGCTCTCTGTATTTTCTATTCTCCCCTCATAATGGCTGCATGGCTGTCCAGTAGACTGGTGAAGAGAAAATGCAGCTCACTGCTGCTGTGCCCTATCTCCCTGGCCCCAGTCTGCTCCAGAGGGGTTGCAAGGGTCTCCCCTGCCTCAGGGGCCCTCTCCACCATCCAGAAAAAGCCTCGGACAGTGGAAGATCTCCCACATGTCAGCTTCTTGGAGTTTCTTTGCAGAGTGGTGTTTCAGGGTTTCTACAAACGTATGCATGAGCTTCAGGTAGGCTGCAGTGCATGATCTTTATTATGTTCACTCACAGTGATATGTGCTTGTTTCAGTTCGATGTCAAAGATGTTTTGTGTTTTCCACCTGATGCATTTCAGAAACCCTGGTGACAAATTTGATAATCTGAGAGGACATGGGTTTACAAGTGACTGCATTTTCCTCCAGTGACAATAAATAATAGAAAATGTTGGGCTGGTTGTATGACTTTTTTGTCCATAGTTACCTTCAGACAGTATCAGCTTGTCTCACAGCTAACTGACACAGAGTCTTGGGCTGCTTTCTTTCTCTGATGAATCACATGCAGCCACTCCAGCACACACTGACCTCTGGCATCTGATTACTGACTGATTAAATATAATGTCTGCTTTTTAAATTACACATTGCAAAAATCCCCAAATGTCTTCATCTTTATTCTATAAGAATGCAGCTCTACCTTTATCACTTTTCCACCGTCAGATCTATGAGAAGCAGCTGTATGGGCCCATTTACAGAGACGGACTCAGATCAATATCCTTGAGCACCCCAGAGCTTTTGGCCGAGCTGCTGAGGAAGGATGAGAAGTTCCCTTGTAGAGGAGACATGAGTGTGTGGAGGGAATATCGTGACATGAGAGGATTCGGCTATGGACCTTTTACAGAGTAAGACTACCAAACAGTGTAGTAATGCTGCCCCACCTAAAAAATAATCTCATTGTGATTGCTTAGATTCTAATACGTAACAGATTTCCAGGGAAAGAGTTTTATTATGAGTGGAAGGGATTGTTTTTGACCTATTTGGGTTAAATAGATTCCTCTCAGGCTGGTATATTCCATAAAGATAAGAAATCAGAAAAATGTTAATGCTCCACAAGTTTTATGAACCGGTGACAATATAAGGGGATCAATGTTTAATTTTAGCTCTGTCAGGCTCAGTGCAGTAGCAGCAGTAAACCTATTTATGTTGCTAAAATAAAATTTATATTGCAGATGGTGGTCATTCCTTCACCATCTGCAAAGGCTCAGTTTGAGAACCACCATATTAGGCAATCAAATGAAACTAAAAGGCTGAGCAGATTTTAAACTGTGTTGTTTATCTGAAGACAGTGGGCTCCACACCCAATATCTGTCATATTATTATGAAAAGCTGGAAATTACAAGAAAGTTTGAGGATTTTGAGGAAAACACCAGAAGTAATACTCTGGTGTTTTTCTAGGTCAACAGTCAGAGCCACAGTTTAATAAACTCATCACAGGCTTGTTGAAGAAATCTGATGCAGGGAACACTAATAGCAATGTGATATCAGTAAATACTGCATCAGAACGATGCACCAATGGCAAAAAATGTTAAATGATTAAATTTGGCATCAGTGATACTGTCACGGTTCTGGGTCGTTTCGACCCAGCATTTTGAGTTTCTTATATTTTATAAACTAAAACTAACTTATTTAAGTTTTAGTTTATTTTTGCATTTTGGATTGTTTTCTGAGACTCGTGTGCTTTGCTGATTATTATTAGAATTCTATGTTTCTGTTTATTCGTGTTTAAGGATTGGTTCTTCGGTTGTGTCTCATGTTTAGCATAGTTTGAGTTCCATGTGTTATATTCTGTCTGCCTCTGTGTCGAGTCTGCGTTTCTTGTTTCCTGTTTTGTTGTGAAAGTCTGTGTCTTATGTGAGTGTATTCAGTTTGCCTTCCTTGTCTCCTCTTGTCAATTACTTCCAGCTGTGTTCCCCACCTGTGTGTAATCTCCCTGTATTCCCTGAGTGTATTTAAGTCGTGTCTTCTGTTGTTGTAGTCGCTGGTCTGTCTGCGTATCTACTGTGTGGTTTCCCTGCTGTCGCCATCATGTACCTTTTGTTTACATTCCTTTGTGTTCATGTTTGCTGTTCAATAGTTTAGTTTGTCTCAGTATAGATTATTTTTGTTCCGTTTTGCCATTTCCATATTTGTTCTACAATAAACCACATTCGCATCTCAGCAAGTGCCTGTAATTGGATCCTCTTTCATTTCCTCTACACGGCTCACTCCACTCGCCGTGACAGATACCAGTCAGTAAATATCAGTAAATAATCAAAGTAGTCAATGAAGGTCAGGTCTGTCTGTTGTGCTGCACTTTAAACACAAAAGGTTACTTTGTTCACAAGACAAACTGGTTTAAAATAGTGCTCAAAATGAAGGATGCACTCTCTCAATGTTTCTATGCATTTTATATACATATATATGTGTGTGTGTGTGTGCGTGTGTGTGTGTGTGTGTGTGTGTGTGCGTGTGTGCGTGCGCGTGTAAGCATAGTAGCAAACAAACTGCAGACCACAGCCAGCTTAGATATTTGTGTGAGCTCTTTAGTTTACTGGCTACAAACTGGTTGAATGGAAAAATGTAGCAGAAAATCAGCCATAATGGATGCACAAGTGTATCATAGTTCAGACTCTTTGTTGTGTTTGCGTTTGGATTTATTTATTTCAGTGCAAACATGTTTCTGTTCCAACAGGGATGGAGAGAGGTGGTACAAGCTGAGGGTGGTGCTTAACAAGCGGATGCTGAATCCGAAGGACTCGGCCCAGTATTCTGGGATTATCAATGATGTGGTTAAAGACTTCACCAAGAAGATGCGCAGTCTGTGCCAGTGCAGCCCAACAGGAGACTTTGTGACCAACATTGCCAATGAGCTTTATCTGTTTTCACTAGAAGGTAGTCTGATGGTTAAAACTGCAAATGCTGAATGCTAAATAACATATTTGTTTAATGAACTAAATGAAAAAAATATTATTTTCAAACTAAAGTTTAAAGGAAGCTAAAAGTTAAGAAAAAAATTTGTTGCTAGATTCAGTGCCTTTTCTTTTTCTTATCCATTCAGGAATTGCCTCCATATTGTTTGAGACAAGGCTTGGTTGTCTGGAAGAGGAAATTCCTGGTGGTACACAAGATTTCATCAATTCCATAGCCCAGATGCTCTCCTACAACATGATAGTGTTTATTCTTCCCAAGTGGAGCCGGAATCTGCTGCCCTACTGGGGACGTTACATTGCTGGCTGGGAGGGCATCTTCAGCTTTGGTGAGCAGTTTGAACCTCACAGTCCTGATGTTTTAGTTAAGTTTTAGAGTGTTAGGAAACAATAAACATTATTATAAAAAGAAAAAAATAAATCTGTGGGGGGTTTTTTGCACCAACTTCCCGTAAGGAGCCACGGCCTTATTCTCTATCAGCTGGTATTTATACAGTGCTTTTCTTATCTTATTGAGGATTCAGAATCCTTTTACAGTTACTTTACTACATGTGCATCATTCAGCATCTTTTATCTTTTATCCAGAGATGTAGTGCTATGTAGTGTAATATGGTGAAGTAGCAGAGTGAACCATTTTGTGTTATAAACCCCTATTTAGTATTTGGCATCAAATTTGCTCCTCCCAGTTTTTAGTAACAGGTTATGTATGTTCAGTTTATGCTTTGGGTGCCCTTTTATTTTTGCCTTCGTCTGTTCCTGTGTCTTCCCTTGTCTTATCTGTGCTTAGTCCTCAGTGTCATGTGTCAAAAAGACATGTGTGTAGTAAGTTTAGTCCCAGTATTTGTTTTTTGTTTCTGTGTAAAGTCCACGTATGCGGATCTGTCAACTGTTCATTTCCTGTTTTATTTTGATAGTTTCTTGTCTCATGTGCATTATGTTCAATTCAGCTCGGATTCAGTTCAGCTTTTCTCACCAGGTGTCTCCACTTTGCCCCCTTCCCTCTTGTTTGTCTATATTCCTTGTCATGTTCTCCCTTATACACGTGCTGTGTAACCCTCTGCTTTAATTTTCTTGGTTTAGTTAAAGTTAAATTGATTTCATGTCCTGTCCTCTGCATCCTGCACTTTGGGTCCAAAACTGGGCTTCAATACAGAGACACATGGCAATTGGCAGCAACAAAACGGGCCATGTTTTCTACTGTGCAGCATGTCCTCTTCTTTTAGCAACAGTCAACAACAACAGGAGACCAGCTGCTGGACTTTTGCCAGAGGAACTTTTCGTGATGGTCTGAAAGTTTTCAGTTGGTGAAAGGTCTAAACCGCAGGCAGACCGGTTCAGCATTTGGACTCATCTAGTAAAAAGCCATGATGTTGGAATAGATGCAGTATGCAGTTTAACATTATCCTGATGAAATATGCAATGCGATACCTTTCAGCATTTATGGAGCATTTCCAGACTTTCACAGGTACTGATGCACCATATACCATCTGAGATACAGACTTTTGAACTGAGTGCTGATAACAAGCCGAATGGTTCATTTCCTCGGTCTGCAGAATAAAAAGGAGGGAGCTGTTAGGTGTGTGGAACAGCAGTTATCCACAGGGGGCTTTTTTCACCCGCACAAGCGCTGCCTGGCACTGCTCCATCCGCCGGACCAGATTCCAGATTTCCTGATATCTAATTTCTATTTGCACTGAGGGACATTTATGAATGTCCCCGTGCACACACTTCACCTCCACCCACTCAGCCTCATGCAGGGTTTGGTGGACCAGGGTCTGCGTACAGCCCGAGTTCACTAAAGCCTGGCATATACCCCCTGGGCACCTTACCGGTAAACGGTATGTCTCTCCTGAATCAGGGTAGGGCATCGGAGGGCTGGCAATACGTAGCACCTGTCCCACCTCCATTAACGGGCAGTCCCAACGGAGATACCCCGGTTGCCCACATCTCCAGCATTCCTGCCCCAATGCCTATGCAGCCCTAGGTGAGCTGGGCATGGTGTCCGTAACGGCCGGGACCTGTGGAGAAAACCCAGATGAAAAAGGGTTAGTCGGTGGCCTTCGTGGGGCCAGGACCAGTCGGTCCGTTATTACCAGCCATGGCTGTCCTCGTGGGTGTTCCCATCATGTCAGCAGGTGGTCCTAGGCCAGCATTTGTAGCTTCAAGGCTCGCTGGCCAGTGGCAGCGGACCCATATAACTGTATCTCTGACTGACCCTGCACTAAGTTCAGTTAGGTTTTATTCAAAATTATGGAACCATTGACATTTTAGCCTTTATATAACTGTGTAACGCTATGGAATTAATTTTTTTATGGGCCCATGTGTGTCTTTAATAAAGTGAAACAAACAAACAGATCGGTTTTCCACTTTGCCTCTATTTTAAATGAGCTTTGTCCCAGAGTAGATGGCAGCATTTCTAGATTATGGTCTTTTGTTGCAGATTGGTGAATAATCTATCTTTACCTCTGAGAAACACTGCCTCTATAAGATGCTCTTTTTTTATATCAAGTTATGGATATAAAAGATATAAAAGTACCAGTTATGGTACTGATGGTACTGAACTGTTGCCAGTTTGGTGCAACTGTCCCTACGTTTTAAAGATATGTTGTTTCCATCAAATTGAACCCAAGCTAATATGTTTCATGAAATAATAAATTGTCTCAGTTGATACAGTATATTTCATCCTATGTCCTGTTGCTAGTAAAATATGGGTTTATGAGTAAATGACTGCATTCTGTTTTGACTGATATTATACAGTGTTCCAACTATTTTTTTTTTTTTTTTTGCACCATTTTTATGCACCTGTTCTAGCCAAAAAATTGATTGACAAGAAGTTGGAGATGATTCAGCAGCGGGTTGACAACAAGCAGGATGTGGAGGGTGAATACCTGACATACCTACTCTCAAACACGCAGATGAGCACTAAAGATGTGTATGGCAGCGTCACTGAGCTCCTCTTAGCTGGAGTGGACACGGTAAATGGAATACCAATACTAGTAATAAAAAATCACATGTAAAAAGGCACTCTGCACGGCTCTAATCATCAAAGCTCACCACTCAGTGTATTCACTTTTCTTTTGCATGTACATGTATGCAAGGCTCAGCATATATGTCTTCAAAAGTTTACTTTCACATTTTTTAAACTCCCAAGACCTCCAACACTCTCACGTGGGCTTTGCACGAGCTTTCCAAGAACCCTGATATCCAGGAAAGACTCTATAAAGAAGTGTCCACTGTGGTACCATTAGACCGGATCCCCACCGCTGCTGACATCACTGGCATGCCATATTTAAAGGCAGTTATCAAAGAGACGCTGAGGTGAGACTGCTGCAATTTAGCTTTAACTGAAGCGATTAATGCAGGAAACAAACATGTTTTTAGTAGATAGTTTTCACATATTTGTAACAGCCAAACTGAAAATCTTTGAAAGTGAAAATAAGCTTCAAGTTTCCTGAAGTTTGTCTATTTAGCAGCCAAAATGGGTTTTATTTGAACTCATGGCTCTTAACAGGTTAAATGTAGACTAATTCATCAGTCAACATCCTTATTCACCTGCTTAAGAAGAAGCCAGACTATGAACCAGCCTAAAGTAACATGCAAACAAAAAATAACTTGTCTTGCAGGATGTATCCTGTTGTTTCTATGAATGCGAGGATCATTGCAGAAAAGAATGTTTCTATTGGTGGATATGAGTTCCCAAAAAAAGTAGGTCTGCTTTTAACCATTGTTAGATTGTTTGTGAGTGCTTTTTGTATTAACTTAATAAGACATATTTATGATGCCTGGATATAAAAAGGCTATTGTGTTATAAGGGAGGATCAGTATTCCATATTGTGTTGACTTCCAGTTGTTGATTGCTTTACAGACGCCATTCACCTTTTGTCACTATGCCATCAGCCATGATGAGGACACATTCCCCGACTCGTTCACATTTAAGCCAGAGCGATGGCTCCGAGACGGCCGTGAGAGGCCAAACCCCTTCGGCTCCATCCCGTTTGGCTTTGGAGTAAGAGGCTGTGTCGGTCGCAGGATTGCTGAGCTCGAGATGTATCTGCTCCTGTTTCAAGTAAGTGACAAGAAGGAGAAAAAACTGCTGAACATCCCAGGGAAACTCCTGGATTTTTTTAAATGTGACCCAGGTGTGTCCAACAATAAGTGCAGGGGTTTGGGGGGGGAGGGGTCTCATGGAAAGTGGGAAAAAATCTGACGGAAATCTGGAACGGCTTCATTAATGCTGAAGGGTATATACGTGTCTTATGCATCTCTGTTGTTTGTGATTGTGTGGGATAATACATTTGTCCATATTCAAATCAATTGTCATCCACGTTTCAGACAACTCACTAACTCTATTTTTTTTTCACAGCTTATCAGGCAGTTTGAAATCAAACCCGACCCCACACTGGGAGAGCTGAAATCCATCAGCCGCACAGTTCTGATACCAGACAAACAACTAAATTTGCACTTTGTGGACAGAAGATAAGAAAAGACAGCAGACTGAGTGATGGTGGTTTGTATTAAGTCAGTGAGACGGGAGCAGAGGATTTTAAACCTTTGTAATCACAAATTGAAATGCCTAAACTCATCCAATTTTAAATGTTGTATCATCAAAGTAATGCTATAAGAGTTCAACTTAACACTGTTCCTCTATGTATGTACTGCAGCAGTCAGCTTATAGTTCTGTATATCCATCCTCTCATAATCTCTTAGTGTACTTAGTGATATAATAATAATTCTTTATTTAAAACAGACAGTGCAGTTTAACATAGTCCAAGTATAAAACATAAAACTGATGTGCTGCACATAACATTACAGCTATAGCTAATTTTCAACAATTGTCCCTTGTTGGGCTTACATTCACAATACACAGAGTTAAAACATACATTTTCATGAAACCAAAATACACCATGAATACAGCTACAATTAACAGACAATGTAAAAACAAACAAACAAACCCCACAAAAAAAAGATTAATTGAAATCACTACAGCTCTGATTTCCCTTTAACTAACTTTTAACCTTCAATGTAAAGGAACTAACATCTGTAATCAATTTGATATCAGATGGCAAGCCTTTATGGAAAACGCTGATTGTCCAAATTTAGATCTGCGATATGATATTTTGCGGTTGCCATTCACTATACTCCTAGTAATGCGATTACTATCTTGTCTTTGGATGTATCTATTAGACACTCTGGGACCAGCCTATTTATACACTTGAAGGGTAATTTAAGACAACACAAGTGATTGAAGCTCCTAAACTAAGTCAATTATATTTCTTTAAAATGTGACAATGATTCCACCAAACAGATTTTTTATCCATTATTTTCAAAGATTGATTATATAAGGATGCTGAACTGTAGATGGTGCTGCTTGAGTCCAAACTGTCATAAAATATGAAAAATGAGAGAATATCATGGAATGTGTGGAGATCAGAGAAATACTTTACTGCTATTGTTCATGGTCATCATCATTATCATTGCATTAATAACATAATCTACAGCATTGATATTGTATTCAGATGTTTAAACATATTGGCACCCAATTAGCCTTTATTACAGGTGCAGTTATAACCACTTTAAACTGTTGAGTTAAATCGATAATCTTAAATGCTTTGGAATGCTTTTCATAATCTTAAATGTTTATATGTAGATTACATTGCATTATAAAAGAAAGGCCTAACTCTGAGTACACTCTGTGCCAAAGTAGACAGGAAGCGCAGGCTTTTGCAGAGCGTGCTTGTGAAAGTGAAACTAAAGCAGAGTCTAAGTGTAAGTTATTTTGAGGAGCTGTTGGGAGGATGCTATTTGACTAACCAGGTTATTCATTGTTGTCTTTTATTCATTTATATCTTTTGATTAAGCTTTTAGTAGAGGTTCTTGATTAAAAAATTTATTCAACATGTTACAGATATAGTTTCAGTTAGGTTATTACACATAAGGATGAGCCTCTGGTCTGGTGGAAAGGTTACAAGGTTTAGCTGGTGAGGTGAGAGGTGAAACTGAGTGCATTTCAGGTTGACACATACACACCCACACACACACACACAGTAGATAGACTCATTTTTAGGTGAGAGGTTAATCATATTTTGCTTGTGACTGCAAAATTGTGCCTACAAAAGAACAGTTTGTTGCAGAACTGCTGCTGATGTTCCAGACGATAAGCGAGCGTCCGGCAGCGACAGGAAGACACCTGGCATGGAGACGAGGCGATGTTGCTTTTTCAAACTGTGTTAAAAGTCATTGTGGTTTTGAAACTTATGTATGTGATGACGCATGAGGGGGCGTCATAAATTTCCCTGAAGGTATAAAAACAACTGATTGTGTATTGTTCGAGTGAGATCGATGCTGTCTGCGTACAGTGTTCATCTCCCACACGTGTGTTCATTAAACTCATCGTTTGACTCCACCCGGCCGGATCAGTGTTGTTATTTGGATTTCCTCCTGTATCCCTCCTCAATATTTGAACCCTTAACAAATGCATAAATAACTGAGGTGCTGAAGTGGGTATGTAATGCCGAGTTAACTTAAGACAAGTCAGATTAACCTTAACCATCTTTGAAATCTTCTTTACATGCTTATCAAATTTGAGATGTAAATCTAAAATTATTCCTAAAAACTTAAAATCTTTAACCTCCTTTATTTTTTCATTCCTTTACGTGATTTGAAAATCATCAGATGAGCTTTTTCTAATAGAAAAACACATCTAAACTGTTTTTTTTTTAAAATCAATTCAATAAAAGATGATTATTGTATATACATATAATGCAATGTATGACAGGTTTTATCCATCTGTGCAGTTTATTTAGTTTATTCAGTTATTGTCCTTGTCAGAGTTGAGCTGGGGAATGGGGGACAGGAGGCTATCCCAGCTACCACAGGGTGAGAGGCAGGGTACATCTTGGAGACATCGCCAGTCTGTTGCAGGGCTAACACAGAGAATCCAACAACCATTCATGCTCACATTCACACCTATGAGCAATTTAGAATCACCAGTCACCTTAACCCCACCAACTGAATGCCATTGGACTGTTGAAGGAAGCTGGAGTACCCAGAGAGAACCCACGCAAACACAGAGAGAACCCACGCAAACACAGGGAGAACATGCAACTCCACACAGAAAGGACTCCAGCCTGATGGTAGAGTCGAACTCAGGACCTTTTTTTGCTGTGAGGCAACAGTGCTAACTTCATGAAAACCTTTAACTGAGTTAACACTTTTTGAAGGAAACTAAAATGGCTACAACATTTTCTTTGTTAGAAGTTTGGAGAAAAAGGAGCAGCATGTGCTGGAAAGTGGGACAAGACAAAAAGAAAGTGAGCATGAGAGAGAGACAGAGAAAGAAAAAACGCTTTTTAATCTCTATATCACCTTGTACCTAAGCCACATGTCTGAAAGTACTCTGAAAGTATGTTATGAAACCCATGGTACACTCAAAAGACTGAATGAGGTGAATTGTTCAGTTTCTGTTAATTGTTTATCTTCATTTTACTCAAATTATATATCTTTGTTAAGGTAAAATGTTTTTCTGATAAAGTCTATGTAATTGTGTCTGTTATTATCTGCACAGTGTACTAATGTGTTAATTTATATGTTACGTGATCAAGCAAGTGAATTAGGATTGCTATATAAGGAAAGTGTTAAGCCTGATCTTAAAAGTAGAGATAGTGTCTGTCTTCTGAATCCAAACTGGAAGCTGGTTCTATAGAAGAGGGGCCTGAAAACTGAAGGCTCTGCCTCCCATTCTACTTTCAAATACTCTAGGAACAACAAGTAAGCCTGCAATGCGAGAGTGAAGTGCTCTAATGGGGTGATATGGTACTATAAGGTAATTAAGATAAGATGGGGACTGATTGTTCAAGAACTTGTGTGGTGTGAGAAGCAGGATTTTAGATTGGATTCTGGATTTAACAGGGAACCAGTGAAGAGAAGCCGGTATGGGAGAAATATGTTCTCTCTTCCTAATCCCTGTCAGGACTCTAGCTGCAGCATGTTGGATCAGCTGAAGGCTTTTCATAGATAGGCTTTATTATTGAGTCAAAAAATACTGGTTGAGTTGTAGTGTTAAATGGAAGCAATTAATTGGCTTTTTCTAACGGGGAAATCTGAAGGTATAACATTTTCGGCATTGTTACTGAAGATACAAGAGAAGGTAGGTACAGATTATAAAAAGAAAAAAAGTGTGCTTCTTCTTCTCGTGCATCGATCGGAGTCTCGGTTTTTATTGAAGTGTTGTCAGCTTTGGCTTTATCTGCCACCCTGTCCATAGCATTCGCCTCTGTCATACCAATCGTCTGCATGTTCTCCATATCTACGCCTCCTGCCACTGACTCCAAACCATACATTGTGGCAGGTCTCCCTACCATGTTGCAAACTTTCCCTTTCACTCCTTTCCACCCACTCCACCCTGCCTGCACTCTCTTCTTCACCTCTCCTGTGCATCGCCCGTTGCTTTGGATGGTTGACCCCAGGTACTTAAACTTGTTCACCTTCAGTATTTCTGCTCCTTGCATCCTCACGGTTACATCTTGGGGGTAATCCAGCTCATTTACATTCAGCGTGGATGCTGTCAAGGTCCTGGACCTCTTATATTTCTGTATGTCCGTCCTCTCATAGTCTATTAGTGTCCTCAGTAATATGTTTTAGTACTTCTGGTAATCTGGTTTTCATGTTGTTGCTTCCTTAGTTTCAGGGTCTAAAACCGCTGTCGGTTCTTATCGAAGTTCACCGAGATTCACCATCTTTCCTGAACATAAATCGATTTCTGTGGCAGGTAAAAGATTCAGGAAAGAGACTGGGTGCAGGAAATAACTGCTTGAAGTTTGTGCGGCTTTCCCATCGTTATTTTCAAGTACATTACGTGACATATACACTTACAAGACAATAAACCGACTTTGAAATGATGTAACAGTCTCACACAGCGTTACACAGGATAGTGTCCAGGAATAGAAGAAAGTTATGGAGGATAGCTGTGCAGCTTTGTAAGTATTTTTGTATCCAATAGAAAGACAGGTTAAAGAAAGGTTAAAAGCGGGCAGCTCTGTTGACTCTGGTCACTACTTTACAAATGATCCAGCAGGGGGAAGCATCATTGCATGAAAAGCCCTTTAACCACACTTGACTACATACCCCAGAGATTCATTCACTCTGCAAACTCCTCACACCAGGGTTGAAGAACTAAAACTGAAGCGCTTGAAGGATTTTATGGATTTGAGAAATGCAAATCTTTTGTCTCAGTTACAAAGTTACAAATTAAAATACAGCACACTGGAAGATTGTATTGCTTGTTTTGCACTTAGTGTTCAACCAGCAATCAAAAAATCCATGTAATGAGCTAAAAAACTAAAACTTAAATTCTAATAGTAAAATTAATATTTCACAGGATTTCTTTTTAACTTTCATTGACTGTCTCCTGATATTTTTTACTCTATTGTGCTACTTAATAGCAGGATAGTATACTCAAAGCAACTAATTTTATACTTAAAGTACATATTGTGCAGAATCATCTACATTTCATAACTGAATGCACAGAGTATCAATTTAATGTTGCAACAGGACATGACTTTGATTACTTCTTTACTGCCAGGTAATTTTAAATAATGCAATTAAATTAAAGCTATAAAGTAAATGGTATGAAGTACAATATCTAATCAGCTACACTACATAATATTTTTAACATAACCTGGAGAAATCTGTGCATAAGGAGGGCTGAAAATCACTATTGGATGCCTCATGGAGCACTGCACTGCATCAAAACAGCCATAAACACTTGCACAAACCACTGTCCGTGAAAACAGTTCACTACGCTGTTCACAAATGCAGGTTAAAGCTCTATCATTCAAAGATGATAGAAAGGTACCACCAATGCTAAAAGGTATGCAGAGCTTTTAGAGGAACATACATTTGGATCCAGACGCATATTTCAATAAGACAATGCTTAATCAAATACTGCAGCTCTTCTAGCAGCATGGCTTCATAGTAGAAGAGTCTGGGTGCTGAACTGACCTGTCTGCAGTTCAGAGCTTTGAACAGCTGTGAACATTTGAAGGATCATGACATGAAACATGCGACAAAGCTGAACCAGGACTGTTGAGCAGCTATGGTCCTCTACCTGACAAGAATGAGACAACATTCATCTCCCAAAAAGTCCTTCAGCTGCTCTCCTCAGTTCCCATATTTTTGCAGACTGTAGTTCAAAAAAGAGGGGATGCTACACGATGGGAAACATGGCGCTGTCCCAACTTTTATGAGATGTGCTGCTTTCTCGGTTTCAACATTTAGTATGTTCTATTGTCAATAAAATATGGGTTTAAGAGATTTATAGAACATTACATTCTGTTTTTAATGTACATTTTACACAGTGACTCACAACGTTTTTCAGGAACTGGGGTTGTACTAAATAAAGCACATGTACATTAAAACCAGGTAATTATATTTCAGGGGGTGTGGTACTATCTTATTACAGTGAACTAAAACAGAACTTAAAAGTATGTGTGAAACTTTTCTTTAAATTTAAACTTCCTTAAAAGTAGAAATGAAAATAAACAGGAAACATCCTTAGTTTTTGTCAGTCTGGTCAAATTTTCCAACATAACCAGCCTCAGGAGGCGTTACTGAGACTTTATAACAGCTGACACACTGTCTTATCAATATTGTTATTCTGCAGTTGTAGTATAATAGATAGTAAGTTAGATACTTTGATCCCACAGGGGAAAGTTTTGTGTTACAGTAGCATGATAAAGAGTAAAAATAGAACAGTCTACAATACACAACAATAAACAACAAGGTTAAAATAAAAGTGCCACACACAGGACCTCATACTATGAGATAGTGCAGGAATTTATGTATTTACAACAGTGATTAAAAAAAAACAAGGAAAGTATAATTGAAGTTAAGTGAAACAGTTAAAGTAAGACTGACATTGTGTAAGAAGGATGTGCAACTTGTATTATTAAATAATATGCATGCTTTAAATCTATAGTGTAAAACAAGCTGCATGCCAGTATAATACTAAAACATGTCCTGGCAGGTGTGTTCACCTGTCACAGGATGCAGCGTCATCCCTTTTTAAATACACATTAAAGAATATGTCAAACACTGGAACTCATTAAAAGAAACAAAAAAAAAGCAGTGGAATAAGTTTGGGCCTGTACCACCTGATGCCGCCAATCTCTGGACACACCCCTGCACATGTTTACCTGGAGGTCAGATAATTACCCCGGGGAAGGCGGAGGGAGAGCATTGGTGTGGATTGTACCTGTTAGGACAGAAATGGACGTGATTCAGTCTTTACAGTAATGTAACACAGCTAGTGTGTACTGTCCGAATAAATGAAGTGAAGAGAGAGAGCGAGAGAGGGAGGGAGGAACACCTTCAGTGTTTAAGGCTGCAGGATACCTGTTC